TCTCTCTCTCCTCTACTCCTCTACTCCTCCTCTCCTACTCTCTCCTCTACTCCCTCTACTCCTCCTCTACCTCCTCTCCTCCTCTACTCCTCTATCTCTCTCCTCCTCTACTCCCTCCTCTACTCTCTCTACTCTCTCTACTCCTCTACTCCTCTCTACTCCTCCTCTACTCTCTACTCCTCTACTCCTCTACTCCTCCTCCTCTACTCCTCTCTCTACTCTCTCTCTACTCCTCTCTCTACTCCTCCTCCTACTCCTCCTCTACTCCTCCTCTCCTCTCCTCCTCCTCTACTCCTCCTCCTCTACTCCTCCTCTACTCCTCTCCTCTACTCCTCCTCTCTACTCTCTCTCCTCCTCTACTCCTCCTCCTCTCCTCCTCTACTCCTCCTCTACTCCTCCTCTACTCCTCTACTCTCCTCTACTCCTCCTCCTCTACTCCTCCTCTACTCCTCCTCTACTCCTCTACTCTACTCCTCCTCTACTCCTCTCTACTCCTCTACTCCTCCTCTACCTCCTACTCCTCCTCTACTACTCCTCCTCTACTCCTCCTCCTCCTCTCTCCTCCTCTACTCCTCCTCTACTCTCTCTCCCTCCTCTACTCCTCTCTCTCTCCTACTCCTCTCTCTCCTACTCTCTACTCCTCTCTACTCCTCTCTACTCCTCTCTCTCTCCTCCTCACTCCTCCTCTACTCCTCCTCTACTCCTCTACTCCTCCTCTACTCCTCCTCTCTCTACTCCTCCTCTACTCCTCTACTCCTCCTCTACTCCTCCTCTACTCCTCTACTCCTCCTCTCTACTCCTCCTCTACTCCTCCTCTACTCCTCTCTACTCCTCCTCTACTCCTCCTACTCCTCTCTACTCCTCTTACTCCTCTCTACTCCTCTACTCTCTCTACTCCTCTCTACTCCTCCTCTACTCCTCCTCTCTACTCCTCTACTCCTCTACTCCTCCTCTACTCCTCTCTCTCTCTACTCCTCTACTACTCCTCTCTCTCTCTACTCTCCTCTACTCCTCTCTCCTACTCCTCTATCCTTCCTCCACTCCTCCTCTACTCCTCCTCTACTCCTCCTCTACTCCTCCTCTACTCCTCTACTCCTCTACTCCTCTCTCTACTCCTCTACTACTCCTTCCTCCTCTACTCCTCCTCTACCCTCCTCTACTCCTCCTCTACTCCTCCTCTACTCCTCCTCTACTCCTCTACTCTCTCTACTCCTCCTCCTCCTCTCTCCTCCTCTCTACTCCTCTACTCCTCTACTCCTCTACTCTCTACTCCTCTCTCCTCCTCTACTCCTCTCTACTCCTCTACTCCTCTACTCTCTCCTCTTCCTACTCCTCTCTCTACTCTCTCTACTCCTCTACTCCTCTCTCTACTCCTCTCTCTACTCCTCCTCTCTCTCTACTCCTCCTACTCCTCCTCTACTCTCTCTACTCCTCCTCTACTCCTCTACTCCTCTACTCTACTCCTCTACTCCTCTACTCCTCCTCTACTCCTCTACTCCTCCTCTACTCCTCTACTCCTCTACTCCTCTCTCTCTCTCCTCCTCTACTCTCCTCTACTCTCTCTCTCTACTCCTCCTCTCTCTCTCCTCCTCTACTCCTCTACTCCTCTCTCTCTCTCTCTCTCCTCCTCTCTACTCCTCTCTCCTCTCCTTCTCCTACTCCTCTCTACTCCTCTCTACTCCTCTACTCCTCTACTCCTCTACTCCTCTCTACTCCTCCTATCCTCCTCTCTCCTCTCTACTCCTCTCTCTCCTCTCCTCTACTCCTCTACTCTCTCTCTCCTCCTCTACTCTCTACTCCTCCTCTACTTCTTCTACTCTCCTCTCTCTCCTCTACTCCTCTACTCCTCCTCCTCTACTCCTCCTCTACTCTCTACTCTCCTCTACTCCTCTACTCCTCTACTCTCCTCTACTCGTCTCTACTCCTCTCTCCTACTCCTCTATCCTCTACTTCCTCTACTCCTCTACTCCTCTACTCTCTACCTCTACTCTCTACTCCTCCTCTACTCCTCTACTCCTCTACTCCTCTACTCTCCTCTCCTCTACTCGTCTCTACTCCTCTCTACTCCTCCTCTCTCTCCTCTACTACTCTCCTCCTCTCCTCTACTCCTCCTCTACTCCTCCTACTCCTCTCCTCTACTCTCTCTCTCTCTCTTCTCCCTCTCTCTCCTTCTTCTACTCTCTCCTCTACCCTCTACTCGTCTCTCCTCTCCTCTACTCTCCTCTCCTCTCTACTCCTCCTCTACTCCTCCTCCTCTCCTCTACTCTCTACTCCTCTCCTCTACTCCTCTCTACTCTCTACTCCTCCTCTACTCTCTACTCCTCTACTCCTCTACTCCTCTACTCCTCCTCTACTCCTCTCTACTCCTCTTCTACTCTCCTCTACTCCTCCTCCTCTACTCCTCTACTCCTCCTCTCTACTCCTCCTCTACTCCTCTCTACTCCTCTACTCCTCCTCCTCTACTCCTCCTCCTCTACTCCTCCTCTACTCCTCTACTCCTCCTCTACTCCTCCTACTCCTCCTCCTCTCTACTCCTCCTCTACTCCTCTACTCCTACTCCTCCTCCTCTCTCTCTACTCCTCCTCTACTCCTCCTCCTACTCCTCTACTCTACTCTCCTCTCTCCTCTCTCCTCGTACTCCTCTACTCCTCTACTCTCCTCTCTCACTCCTCTCTCTCACTCTCTACTCTCTCTACTCCTCTACTCCTCCTCCTCCTCCTCCTCTCCTCTACTCCTCTCTCCTCTCTCTACTCCTCTCTACTCCTCCTCCTCCTCTCCTCTCCTCTACTCCTCTCTCTCCTCCTCTCTCTCTCTCTCTCCTACTCCTCTACTCCTCTCCCTTCTCTCCTCTCACTCTCCTCTACTCTCTACTCTCTCTCTCCTCTACTCCTCCTCTACTCCTCCTCTACTCCTCTCTCTCCTCTACTCCTCCTCTCTACTCCTCTCTACTCCTCTACTCCTCTACTCCTCTACTCCTCCTCCTCCTCTCTCCTCTACTCTTCTTCTCTTCCACTCTCTCCTCTTCCTCTCTTCTCTCTCTCCTCTCTCTCTTCTTCTCTTCTTCTCATTCTTCTCACTCTTCTCTCTTCTCATCTTCTCATTCTTCTCATTCTTCTCTCATTCTTCTCTTCTTCTCACTCTCTCTCACTCTTCTCTTCTCTCACTCTTCTTCTCACTCTTCTCCTTCTCGTGTCTGTTCACAGTAAAGACTTGAGTTTGAGGCACATTGATAAGATTGAGATTCTGGAGGCGATTCTGCGAGCGCTCGTCAAAGGAACAGTGAGTCACACTTTACAACTATTACACTTATATTACTCTAATATTACTACTCTATTACTCTGCTCTATTACACTAATATTACTGCACTATTACTACTCTATTACACTACTTTTACACTACTCTTATTAAACTTGTGTGGTTTTTATCCTGGACAAACTCTTTGATGTTTTGATGGTTTCAGTTCAAACTGTTCGACTGAATCTCAGAGTTTAAAGTTCACAGTTTGTGATTCACCCACGATTGTCGATCAGGAGCTCGTCGGGACGAATTCATCAGTTCTCGTTTCCCCATGTTTACGACACGAAGCACAAGAAATGAATAAACCTGCCGGAGTTAAACCTGCCGGGTTTAAACCTGCCGGGGTTAAACCTGCCGGTGTTAAACTGCTGCCGGGGTTAAACCTGCCGGGGTTAAACTGCCGGTTAACCTGCCGGGGTTAAACCTGGAGTTAAACTGGGAGTTAAACCTGCGGGGTTAAACCTGCCGGGTTTAAACCTGCCGGGGTTAAACCTGTCGGAGTTAAACCTGCCGGGTTTAAACCTGCCGGGGTTAAACCTGTCGGAGTTAAACCTGTCGGGGTTAAACCTGTCGGAGTTAAACCTGTCGGAGTTAAACCTGTCGGAGTTAAACCTGTCGGAGTTAAACCTGCCGGGGTTAAACCTGTCGGAGTTAAACCTGTCGGAGTTAAACCTGCCGGGTTTAAACCTGCCGGGGTTAAACCTGTCGGAGTTAAACCTGCCGGGTTTAAACCTGTCGGAGTTAAACCTGTCGGAGTTAAACCTGTCGGAGTTAAACCTGCCGGGGTTAAACCTGTCGGAGTTAAACCTGTCGGAGTTAAACCTGTCGGAGTTAAACCTGCGGGGTTAAACCTGTCGGAGTTAAACCTGTCGGAGTTAAACCTGCGGGGTTAAACCTGTCGGAGTTAAACCTGCCGGGGTTAAACCTGCCGGAGTTGAACCTGTCGGAGTTGAACCTGTCGGAGTTGAACCTGTCGGAGTTGAACCTGTCGGAGTTGAACCTGTCGGAGTTGAACCTGTCGGAAGTTGAACCTGTTTGAACCTGTCGGAGTTAAACCTGTCGGGGTTAAACCTGTCGGTGTTTGTGTGAACGGTTCTTTTCTGAGTTGTTTTTGTGTTTTGTGTTTCAGTTGAAAAAGGCTCAGACTAAACAGGTGGTGCTGATCAGCAACAGCTTCTACCTGGTGAGTCCTGAACTCATCACCTCATGACATCATCAGGGTTCCCACGCCGGTCATGTTCATTTTCCAGGCCTGGAAAAGTCGTGTAGTTTCAGTGTTTCTGTTTCCCTTGGCTCCAGTGTCCTGTTCACTTCTCATGAGTCGGTTCTGTTTATTTGTGAACGTCTTTTGTTTAAAAGAGACGAAAATAAAAACACTGACAGGAATTAAAATGTTCAAAAACTACAATCCCAGAGTGGAAAGAGTTAACACTTTATTAACACTGTACCCTCTCTGTGCCCTCTCTGTGCCCTCTCTGTGCCCTCTCTGTACCCTCTCTGTACCCTCTGTGTACCCTCTGTACCCTCTCTGTACCCTCTCTGTGCCCTCTCTGTGCCCTCTCTGTGCCCTCTGTACCCTCTCTGTGCCCTCTCTGTGCCCTCTCTGTGCCCTCTCTGTGCCCTCTCTGTGCCCTCTCTGTGCCCTCTCTCTGTACCCTCTGTACCCTCTCTGTGCCCTCTCTGTACCCTCTCTGTGCCCTCTCTGTGCCCTCTCTGTACCTCTCTGTGCCCTCTGTACCTCTCTGTACCCTCTCTGTACTCTCTCTGTACCCTCTCTGTACCCTCTCTGTGCCCTCTCTGTACCCTCTCTGTGCCCTCTCTGTGCCCTCTCTGTACTCTCTCTGTACCCTCTCTGTGCCCTCTCTGTGCCCTGTCTGTGCCCTCTCTGTGCCCTCTCTGTGCCCTCTCTGTACTCTCTCTGTACCCTCTCTGTGCCCCCTCTGTACCCTCTCTGTGCCCTCTCTGTACCCTCTCTGTGCCCTCTCTGTACCTCTCTGTGCCCTCTCTGTACCCTCTGTACCCTCTCTGTACCCTCTCTGTGCCCTCTCTGTACCCTCTCTGTACCCTCTCTGTACCCTCTCTGTGCCTCTCTGTACCTCTGTACCCTCTCTGTACCCTCTCTGTACCCTCTCTGTGCCCTCTCTGTACCCTCTCTGTGCCCTCTCTGTACCCTCTCTGTGCCCTCTCTGTACCCTCTCTGTGCTCTCTGTGCCCTCTCTGTGCCCTCTCTGTACCCTCTCTGTGCCTCTCTGTGCCCTCTCTGTACCCTCTCTGTGCCCTCTCTGTACCCTCTGTACCCTCTGTACCTCTCTGTACCCTCTCTGTGCCCTCTCTGTACCCTCTCTGTGCCCTCTCTGTGCCCTCTCTGTGCCCTCTGTACCCTCTCTGTACCCTCTCTGTACCCTCTCTGTGCCTCTCTGTGCCCTCTCTGTGTACCCTCTCTGTGCCCTCTCTGTACCCTCTCTGTGCCCTCTCTGTGCCCTCTCTGTACCCTCTCTGTACCTCTGTCCCTCTCTGTACCTCTCTGTACCCTCTCTGTGCCCTCTCTGTGCCCTCTCTGTACCCTCTCTGTACCCTCTCTGTGCCCTCTCTGTACCCTCTCTGTACCCTCTCTGTACCCTCTCTGTGCCCTCTCTGTGCCCTGTCTGTGCCCTGTCTGTGCCCTCTCTGTGCCCTCTCTGTACCCTCTGTACCTCTCTGTGCCCTCTCTGTGCCCTCTCTGTACCCTCTCTGTACCCTCTCTGTGCCCTCTCTGTACCCTCTCTGTGCCCTCTCTGTACCCTCTCTGTGCCCTCTCTGTGCCCTCTCTGTACCCTCTCTGTGCCCTCTCTGTGCCCTCTCTGTCTGTGTGCCCTCTGTCTGTGCCCTCTCTGTGTGCCCTCCCTCTCTGTACCTCTCTGTACCCTCTCTGTACCCTCTGTACCCTCTCTGTACCTCTCTGTACCCTCTCTGTGCCCTCTCTGTGCCCTCTCTGTACCCTCTCTGTGCCCTCTCTGTACCCTCTCTCCCTCTCTGTACCCTCTCTGTGCCCTCTCTGTGCCCTCTCTGCCCTCTCTGTACCCTCTCTGTACCCTCTGTACCCTCTCTGTACCCTCTCTGTACCCTCTCTGTGCCCTCTCTGTGCCCTCTCTGTACCCTCTCTGTGCCCTCTCTGTGCCCTCTCTGTACCCTCTGTGCCGCAGCACTCTCCGGAGGTTCTGGAAAACGCTCTTCAGTGGTTGGAGAGAACCGGAGAACCAAGGATCCGGGTGCGAGTCCTGGAGCTCGGGCACCTGGACGTCTGCTTCAAAGCCCTGCACCTGGTGTTTGTGGAGTGTACGTCCTGCCCCAGATGCCCCGCCCCCCCGTGTGTGTGTCAGGTCCCCTCCCCGTGTGTGTGTCAGGTCCCCTCCCCGTGTGTGTGACAGGTCCCCTTCCGTGTGTGTGTCAGGTCCCCTCCCCGTGTGTGTGTCAGGTCCCCTCCCCGTGTGTGTGTCAGGTCCCCTCCCCTTCCCGTGTGTGTGACAGGTCCCCTCCCCGTGTGTGTGTCAGGTCCCCTCCCCTTCCCGTGTGTGTCAGGTCCCCTCCCCGTGTGTGTGTCAGGTCCCCTCCCCTCCCCGTGTGTGTGACAGGTCCCTCCTCGTGTGTGTCAGGACCCTCCTCGTGTGTGTGTCAGGACCCTCCTCGTGTGTGTGACAGGTCCCTCCTCGTGTGTGTCAGGTCCCTCCTCGTGTGTGTGACAGGTCCCTCCTCGTGTGTGTCAGGTCCCTCCTCGTGTGTGTCAGGTCTCCTCCTCGTGTGTGTGACAGGTCCCCTCCCCGTGTGTGTGTGTCAGGTCCCCTCCCCAGTGTGTGTGTCGGGTCCCTCCTCGTGTGTGTGACAGGTCCCCTCCCCGTGTGTGTGTGACAGGTCCCCTCCCCGTGTGTGTGTCGGGTCCCTCCTCGTGTGTGTGACAGGTCCCTCCTCGTGTGTGTCAGGTCCCCTCCCCAGTGTGTGTGTCAGGTCCCCTCCCCGTGTGTGTGTGACAGGTCCCCTCCCCGTGTGTGTGTGACAGGTCCCCTCCCCGTGTGTGTGTCGGGTCCCTCCTCGTGTGTGTCGGGTCCCTCCTCGTGTGTGTCGGGTCCCTCCTCGTGTGTGTTTAATAATATTTTGTGTGTATTTGTGTGTTTCAGTTTCTCAGTACGTTAAAGCTTTGGCCTACAGCTTCGACCGGACCATGTGCGCCCTGACCGCCCGCCCCAACGACATGCTCGTCAAGGTACTGAACATCAGAACATCAGAACAGTCAGAACATCAGAACATTAGAACATTAGAACATCAGAACATCAGAACATCAGAACAGTAGAACATCAGAACATCAGAACATCAGAAATAGAACAATAGAACATAGAACATTAGAACATCAGAACATCAGAACATCAGAACATCAGAACAGTAGAACATGACTTCAAGTTCACAGGAGTCAGTTTTGTGTGCTTCTGGAGCTTTAACCCGTTGACGCCGGATGCAGCGCTGAGTCTCCTGTCGGTGTCTGGATTGTCTGGTGATCAGTGTAACTGGTAAAGGTGGAGCCACATCTGGAAGCACGGGGGGCGTGTCCTCCTCTCGCTTCATTCACTCCCATAGAGACGCAAAACTGCCAGAGCTTCTACTGTCGTGTTAAACCTTCTTTATCGTGGCGTATTATTTCCCCATTGAAAAATAATCCAAATGTCCCGAACATGTTTCCATCAAGACATTGTTCTTTACTGCAGCACATGAACGCAGCTCAAACACCTGATCTGTTCACTGTTCCAGACGCTCCTATAACAACAGGTGACATGTCACTGTGTCGTAACAAATAAACATGGTTAAACACAAATGTATCCGTGTTTTCACTGTCATTGTCACTGTCAGCATTTTTGTGTTTAACCATGTTTATTTGTTACATGACACAGTGACATGTCACCTGTTGTTATAGGAGCGTCTGGAACAGTGAACAGATCAGGTGTTTGAGCTGCGTTCATGCGCTGCAGTAAAGAACAACGTTTGTTACTTCAAACCAGGTCTTGATGGAAACATGTTCGGGACATTTGGATTATTTTTCAATGGGGAAATAATACGCCACGATAAAGAAGGTTTAACACGACAGTAGAAGCTCTGGCAGTTTTGCGTCTCTATGGGAGTGAATGAAGCGAGAGGAGGACACGCCCCCCCAGGCTTCCAGATGTGGCTCCACCTTTACCAGTTACACTGATCACCAGACAATCCAGACACCGACAGGAGACTCAGCGCTGCATCCGGCGTCAACGGGTTAACTGTGTTTTGTCTAGTCTAACCTGTTCTTCTGTGTGTAATCATCAGTGTGTGACAGCAGACAGGAGCAGACAGGAGCAGACAGGAGCAGACAGGAGCAGACAGGAGCAGACAGGAGCAGACAGGAGCAGACAGGGGCAGACAGGGGCAGAGACAGGGGCAGACAGGGTGTGTCAGGACAGAGAACAGGAGTGTCCACGTGACTCTGAGTCCTGAGTTTTTACTATTTACATCTTTCTGTAGAGTCACAGTAGAACAAACAAGATCAAATACATAATGACCTGATGCCTGACCTGGAGTTTAAACCTGACCTGGAGTTTAAACCTGACCTGGAATTTAAACCTGACCTGGAGTTTAAACCTGACCTGGAGTTTAAACCTGACCTGGAGTTTAGACCTGACCTGGAGTTTAGACCTGACCTGGAGTTTAGATCTGACCTGTAGTTTAAACCTGACCTGGAGTTTAGATCTGACCTGGAGTTTAGATCTGACCTGGAGTTTAGACCTGACTGAGTTTACCTGACCTGAGTTTTAGACCTGACCTGGAGTTTAGATCTGACTTGTAGTTTAGATCTGACCTGGAGTTTAGACCTGACCTGTAGTTTAAATCTGACCTGGAGTTTAGACCTGACCTGGAGTTTAGACCTGACCTGGAGTTTAAACCTGACCTGGAGTTTAGACCTGACCTGGAGTTTAGACCTGACCTGGAGTTTAGATCTGACCTGGAGTTTAGATCTGACCTGGAGTTTAGACCTGACCTGGAGTTTAGACCTGACCTGGAGTTTAGATCTGACCTGGAGTTTAGATCTGACCTGGAGTTTAGATCTGACCTGGAGTTTAGACCTGACCTGGAGTTTAGACCTGACTTGGAGTTTAGATCTGACTTGGAGTTTAGATCTGACTTGTAGTTTAGATTTGACTTGTAGTTTAGATCTGACCTGTAGTTTAGATCTGACTTGTAGTTTAGATCTGACCTTGAGTTTAGACCTGACTTGTAGTTTAGACCTGACTTGTAGTTTAGACCTGACCTGGAGTTTAGATCTGACCTGGAGTTTAGATCTGTCCATGTTCTGAAATGTGATTCTTGTTTTATTTTTCAGTTTTTGTCGATTCTTTTGGACGAGTTTAAAACATGAATCTTTGAACAGAATCGTATCATTAAAACAAACGAAGTCTGGAAATAAAAGTTCTTTCTCTTTTTTTTCAGAGAAGTGAAGAAATGAAGCGAAAAGGGAACGAGCATTTTCAGAGGAGACTCTACGACGAAGCCGTCAAGTTCTACACCAAGGCCATCAAACTACAGTGAGTCTGACGGGTGAAAGACGAGGTGAGAAAGACGAGTGAAAAAAACGAGGTGAGAAAGACGAGGTGAGAAAGACGAGGTGAAAGACGGGGTAAGAAGGATGGGGTATGAACAGTGGGGTACGGAAGAGGAGGTGAGAAAGAGGTTCCTCCTCTGCTCCTGTAGAAGGTTCTTGTGTAACAGTGTGACTCTTCTTCTCCACAGCCCTGATAACCACATCATCTATGGAAACCGAGCTCTCTGCTACATCAGGTCCAACAACTTCCTGTGAGTATCACACTCGTCACACTGGTGTTTCTGTGGCGACGTCACACTCGTCACACTGGTGTTTCTGTGGCGACGTCGTCACACTGGTGTTTCTGTGGCGACGTCACACTCGTCACACTGGTGTTTCTGTGGCGACGTCACACTCGTCACACTGGTGTTTCTGTGGCGACGTCACACTCGTCACACTGGTGTTTCTGTGGCGACGTCACACTCGTCACACTGGTGTTTCTGTGGCGACGTCACACTCGTCACACTGGTGTTTCTGTGGCGACGTCACACTTGGGACACTCGTTTTCGTTCCGGCCTCGTTCGAGTTTGATGTGAGTTTGTGTGTTTCAGAAAAGCGTTGGGCGACGGGAAACGGGCGACTCTGATCAAACCGCTCTGGGCCAAGGTGAGTCCAGCCTCATTTACACCACTCACACAACTACAACTAGCATTCTAACACACACCTCCTCTTCACGAGACAACACTTGTTACTTTGCAGCTGTGTGTGTGTCCGTGTGTGTAACGGACCGTGTGTGTAACGGACCGTGTGTGTAACGGTCCGTGTGTGTAACGGTCCGTATGTGTGTAACGGTCCGTGTGTGTAACTGTCCGTATGTGTGTAATGGTCCGTGTGTGTGTGTTGTGCCCCCTGCAGGGTCAGTACCGGTACTGTGAGGCCCTGTTCGGTCTGGGCGAGGTGCGACGGGCGCTGGAGGCCAACAGGTCGGCTCAGACTCTGTGTAGAAACGACCCTGAGGGCATCAGGGACCTGGAGTCACAGCAGCAGAGGTTCAGCGCACACGTGTCCCACAGCGCCGCCAGCGGTGAGTCTGAAGAACCCAAACCCCAACCTGAACCTGAACCCAAACCCCAACCTGAACCTGAACCAAAACCCCAACCTGAACCTGAACCATAACCCGGCGAGTCCACACTGGACACTTTTACTCGAGAGCTGTAAAACTGAAGAAAATGAATTCCGCTTTAAAAAGTTCATGTAAACAGTTAAACTTCATTCCAGAGTAGGTAGGTGGTTTATTCCGATTTTGAAGCCAAATAAATTTTTTCCTGGATCATGTAAACGTTTAAGTTAAGTCCAGTTCCGTGTTTTCCTGGTAGAGAGTTTGACTTTACTGTTTTTATTACATAAACACGTCAGTCGTTTGACGGCAGCTTTAACGTGTTTAGATATATTCTCCGGTAATGACGCTGTGTAAAGTTTCTTGTTCTGTCGTTTGTGGTTCTCGGGTCTTTCTCTTTCTTCTTCTTCTTCTGGGTAATAACGTCTCCCGTCAGTGGATTGGTTTGGTTGATGCGGCGCGTCCGACGCCAAAAGTTCAGCTTTTTGAACTTGTGTCACTGACTCGTGAACTCTCAGGACGCGCCGCATCAACACCAGATTCTCACCCTGGACTCGCCTGGACTCTGTTGGTCTGAACACAGCTTCACTCTCACGTCTGTTTTGTTTTTCCAGTTCATCTAAAGACGAATATTTCCCTGAAGTGAGTAACTTTAAATCTCCCATAATCCTCTGTTCTGATGTTCCTCGTCACACACAGACCTGGAGTCATGAAAGAAACAAACACAACTCCAGCTCTGAGTGTGTGAACATCAGAACTTTAGAACATCAGAACATCAGAACTTTAGAACATTAGAACCTGACTTTAAACATGCTCGTGTCTCTCAGTGTCAGCGCCGCTCCTGCTGCTCCTCCTTCTCCTCCTTCTCCAGCGCCTCACAGCGGGAAAACAAAGAAAGCAACGGCGCCCCCTGGTGCCAAATCTGAGAAGAAAAACACTCAGGCCCCCGGTGGAGCAGAGAAGACAACTGCCCCCTCCAACGGGACAAAGAAGAAGACAGCGGCGCCCCCTGGTGCTAAAGCTGAGAAGAGAAGCGCTCAGGCCTCCAGCGGCGCAGACGGTAAAACAGTGACGCCCCCTGCTGGCACAGAGAAGAAGCCCTCTGCAGCGCCCCCTGGTGCCAATGGGAAAACTGCAGCGCCCCCTGGTGCCAACGGGAAAACTGCAGCGCCCCCTGGTGCCAACGGGAAAACTGCAGCGCCCCCTGGTGCCAACGGGAAAACTGCAGCGCCCCCTGCTGGCACAGAGAAGACCGTCCCTGTGAAGAAGGTGAGAGCATACGGCAGGGGCACATGGGCAGGGGCACATGGGCAGGGGCACACTGGGCAGGGGCAGGGGCACATGGGCAGGGGCACATGGGCAGGGGCACACTGGGCAGGGGCACACTGGGCAGGGGCAGGGGCACATGGGCAGGGGCACATGGGCAGGGGCACATGGGCAGGGGCACACTGGGCAGGGGCACACTGGGCAGGGGCAGGGGCACACGGGCAGGGGCACACGGGCAGGTGCACACTGGGCAGGGGCACACGGGCAGGTGCACACTGGGCAGGGGCACACGGGCAGGGGCACACGGGCAGGGGCACACAGGCAGGTGCAGGGTAGTAGGTTGTGTGAACGGGGCCTGTTCTACGACATCTGCACATTTGACCAAAACAAGAGAATCACCTGTGTGAAGTCGCCACCGTCAAACGCACAACTACAAAAAAACACAACTACAAAAACTCCGTCAATCGTTTGTTCTGCAGAAAGTTTATTTTGTGTTGCTTTAGTTTTGGAGATATTAAAGATTCTTTTATGGGTCAGCAGCTCCAGGAAGTTTTAAAATGAAATAAAAGGACAGATTGGAGTTGGTCGTTGCTGCTTCGTTTGGTTTGTGACATTTTGGTTCTTAACTTTTTTATTTTGGGCTGATGACGTCGTCCAGACCCTAAAATGTGACACAGCCTCAAAACAGCAGAAAATTAAACCAAATGTTTGTGTTTCGTTTGTTTTGGGCTGTGACTGTTTTATATGTTATTTGTTATTTTTTTATAACTTATGAGCAGGTTTATGGAACTATGAAGAAAACTAAATATATTCATAGATTTTCTGTTAAAGTCTTTAAAGTGTCCGTCTTTGCTTTGTCAAAAATGTTTAGTATTTGTTTCATTTTCTCTTGTCATGTTCCCCGTTTTGCCTCGGTGAGTTTCAGGTGACAGTTCTACATTCTACACTCGGTCAGATTTGTACAGGGGGTAAAAGGGGTTGGGTTGTTCTAAAACACTGAGCTCTTGTGTTTCATAAATTATAAAAATGACCAGGTTGGAAGATTTAATGTCAAACTATGATGTGATTCTAACACAAACGGTGTTTTGCAGGAGGCCGAGGAAAAGGTGGAGAAAAAGGCTCAGCCAGGTGAGTGAGAGGAACCAGAAAAAAGACGGAATCCACGACGAGGGGGGGAACGACGCTTCACGATTCTAAAATGAAGCGACTAAAACCACTCGGAACACGATTCAAGACACAGAAAGTGTTTGTTTGACCTCGGCCAGGTCTGCACGTGGAAACCACACGAGCGCCGCACGTGAGCACTAGACATGCGCGGATTGCGGTTACAGCCACGGTGTCGCGGGTCGGGCGGATGACGTGACGAAAAATAATTTTGTTTAAATTTGGGCGGGTGGCGGTTTAACTACTCAAATTAAAATATATATATTACAGCCTATATTGTTAAGTGTTATGAGATATGCGTCTTTACTCCTGTGTGCAGTGTTTATAGCGGCGTGAGCGTGACTGAGTGACTGCGTGCACGCCCCCGAGGCGCCGCCCCCGAGGCGCCGCCCCGAGGCGCCGCCCCCGAGGCGCCGCCCCCGAGGCCCCCCGCGCCGCCCCCGAGGCGCCCCCGAGCGCCGCCCCCGAGGCGCCGCCCCCGAGGCGCCGCCCCCGAGGCGCCGCCCCCGAGGCACGCGCTTCTTGAATGGGCCCGTGGAGTGTACAGGGGTCTACAGGTGTCTGTGTTTTACTGTTTGTGAGGTGAACGGTCAGAAGGCGACCGGAGCGAGTCAGGAAGCAGCTGTCCTGTTATTTGGTGAATCACTGCAAATAAAACCACGATTCTTGAGCAATGACCTGGCGCGTTTATTGATCCCACACACTCACGGTGAGGCTCCGAACAGGGAGTTAAACCCTGAGCAACGAGCGGCGTTTTGTGACAGACAATTAAAAATGTGAACATGCATTGAATTTTGGAATGAATGAGCTGTAGAGTTTGCATTTTTATCGAGGCTCTTTAGTTTGTTTGCTGTATGATTGTTCTAAAATCTAAAATCAATGGGCGGACGGCGGCGAGTGTGGGTTTGACAATTGGTCAAAACTTTGGGTGCAAATGGACAGCGGGCAGATGAGTTTTGTGTCGCGGTTGCGAAAAAATAGCCCCTCCGCGCATCTCTAGTGAGCACTAATGTGAACACTGAAGTGACTCACGTGTGCACGGACTAAAAACACCTCCTGAATTGTATAAAATCATTAAAGTAGAAGATCGGGATGAAACTGACTTCCCCAGTTATTACATGATTTTTAAACAATTTTGCGTAAGTGGATGAATCGTGATGAATCGTGGTGAATCGTGAATCGAATCGTGAAGTTTCTGAATCGTTTCTTTCTTCTCTGTGTTAATAAATGTAATAAATGTTTCTTTGTTTCCTTCAGCCAACGACAGGAGCAACGTGACCAGACGGACCTCCACCCCCGACCCCAAACCTGCCAAAAGGTCACATCACACTGACCCTTACACACTGACCCTTACACACTGACCCTCATCACGCACTGACCCTCATCACACTGACCCTCATCACACTGACCCTGACACACTGACCCTCATCACACTGACCCACACACACTGACCCTCATCACACACTGACCCACACACACTGACCCTCATCACACTGACCTCCACCCCCGACCCCAAACCTGCCAAAAGGTCACATCACACTGACCCTTACACACTGACCCTCATCACACACTGACCCACATCACA